GAATTGCCGGTTACTGCAAATGCAAAATCCTTATAAATCAAGGATAAAAAACACCTCTGAAACCACTCCTATCCTTTGGCCAAAGTGAGGCTGTGCACTGCACATTGGCTGGGCACGTCATTGCACCTGTTGAGAGACTGGGTGGGGGGACGGGGGTGTAAACCATGATTTAAGCAATTCTTGGTTAACACGACTGTCACTCCTCGCGAGAATTTCGGCCTCAGAATATCAGTCACCCTTTCCAACGTAGCGGCACAGCAGAATGCACTTGCAAAACATTTTCTGGGTTTTCGCGCGACATTTCAGCGTTTCTCGCGTCGGCGGTTGAATCCCTTACTGTCAACGGGCTGCAAACCGGCTGTTTAATCCGACGTTTGTCCATCTAGCATGGGCTTTGTCGGAAGCATCCAAACCTCAGACCTCCAACTCAGTGTCGAGGAGGCCTGAATCCCTGACCCCCGAAATTCTCCCTCCTGCCACTTCAAGCCGCAGCAAAGGGGCAGAACTGAAGGATCCTTCCTCTGCCCTCTCCTTACTCAGCCCTTGATAGGACGAGGCTGTAAGCCCTACCCTCTGAATGCCTTCAACCCCTGCTATATACTCCTAGTGGAATGTTCAAATTTTACTTGACTTAAAATATGAGTTATTTAGAGCTACGAAGACCACATCTTAACAACTATTGCGCAGCCTATAACTCTATCAAGTTCAAATTATTTAAGACCAGAGCACCTGTTCGCTGCATTGTTAAATATTCTACACGTTGCACGCACGGAGAGACAGCTATTGCTCCCGCTGCAAAACCCAATGACAGAACGGAATTGTCCCCGCGTGTTGCGCCTTTTCAATTAACATTAGCAGCAGAATATCATTAGTTGATGTAGATTTGAACTTTATTTCAAATGGACTGTTGCTGACACAGTATCAGAAGAAAGTTATGCATCATGTTTATGAATCGTGGAGGCTACAAGAAAGGGCGTAATTTTTAGAACCGACGGGTATATGTGAAGTAAACTCCACGTCTAAATATCCTTCGGAAGCCTCGACGTATTCTTCTCCATACTCGCCTAAAGAATCCAGCAGGCCTTATAACCTCTATGCTCTCTGCATTCATCTCCGCAGGTGTCTCCGGTATGTCAGCTGCAGAGAGAGCACTTTCCAGTAGATCATTCTCTATCGCTTCCTCCTCCTTGGGATGGGCAGTGCACAGGAGAACCACAAAGGCCAGGACCAGCAGGCAAATAAGTGCAGCTCGGGAAGGCATCGTTGGCTGAGCGTTCAACATTCACGTCCTGCACACT